AGTTTTTTTTTTTTTTTTTTTTTTTTTTTGCATTATTAGTCGTTCTCTTCTTTATTATTATTATTATTTTTGTTTTCATGACCGAGACTAGGTGCCTACAGATCCCATTACACTGATTAAGAGCAACATCCTCTCTACAAAGTCAAAGGTTTTTTTCTACCTGACAATCGAGGCATGTTCGATGAAGTATTTATGTCACAATCGTTTATAACAAATCTGTATTTTACAAATGTATGACTATTTACCCAAGTTTGATATTTGATAGAAGAGTGCGGACACTTGACTTTGAGTCTTCTGGCATTTCTTCTTGAAAGCCATTATTGTGTGGTCTCACGGTACCTTTAGCCCATAATCTTTTTATCAATTTAGAAGAATATGAGGTTTCCAGTTCCCTCGGTCTTTGTGGAACCATTGTTTGGCTCGTAGACTGTGGCTCAAAGATGAGGAGGTGCTTTTATATCCTTCCTTCCAGGACAGGGACAGAGTCTTTTGACATGGTTGTTTTTTCCCTACTTTGTGAGATCAAGAAGATTAGTAAGATTTTTAGAGGGGTTCAAAAGAACATGGGAGATTCAGAAGGTTGTTAAATTTACCACCTCATTGTAGGTGTCGATTTCTCAGCCTTTTTGCAATGTTTAGCCTGATTTGGTCGGGTGTGGGTAGCATTGCCAGGATACTCGAATTCCCTAGAGTTCTCTCTGTTGCGAGTTCTTGTAATTCCTAGTACAAATAGTATTGCATTGCAGCACAAACACATCATTATCAAAATTTCCTTCATATTACTAATTCACTTGTCATCTGCAGTTTCAGATAATTTTGGAGCCATTTTTGTGGAAAAAGTATAATTCATCAAAAGTATCAGGGGATGATACTGCCGAAAGGTTATGACTTTGTTTCTCTAGATTGCAAACTAACTTCACCGAATTTCTCACTTCTTTTGTTCTCATTTTTTGAGGAAATTATCTTAGCTTTACTGGTTTCTTATGCTTTTATCCACAGTGTGGGTGGGTTCTTTCAACATCATTTTGGAAAAGAGGTAATTTTCTGCTTTAATCATGATAAGTTTGTTACTTATAAAACATGGTCATCGAACATATGATAAATAAGGATCTGTTTGAGAACTCTTTTCACCAAATTCCATTTCTTTTCGATGAAAGTTTGCTTCTTCAGTAAAAAAAAAACATGTTTTATCATTATTAATATTTTTAAATTGTTTTTTGTATTTTCTTTTAGAGTTTTTTCTTGAATGAACTGATTTTTTAAATAATTGAAGTTTTCTTCCTTGTAAATCACAAGTTTGCGAGTAATAATTCCAATGTGCACAATACCACTAACATGATCGCTATTATTGAAACTAGTTCAAAAGCAAAACTAAAATTTTTTTCTTATAAAACAGTTTGCCAACAGACCCTAATACTTCGTATTATTTATGGCGCAAATAGAATATTTATTATATATATGGAATGCCTTCTTTATTCGACTTGTCCTAAATTTCAAGGTTGTTGACTATCTAATTGATCCTATTGTTGCTGGTACAAGTGCTGGAGATCCCGACTCTCTTTCTGTGAGTATTAACATTTCGGTTTTCTGTTTCTTGTATTAGTTATAAGGCAATCATGCCTTTTAAATCATGCAAGCCAATAAACTCAAGTACAGGTTTCTACGTTATTTGCATGTTTGACAATAGTCATGCTTAGGGTTGAGTTGAGCTTCCAATTTTGTGTGTGAAAAGCTGTAAGTTGGTCATCAATCAACTAATAAGCATGGGCATATTTATTATTATCCTATTGCAGCTTAACTAATTCTGCTTCTTTTTTTTTACTTCTGTTCAACAGATGAGTCATTCATTTCCGGAGCTGTGGAATATAGAGAAAAGGTAATTTTGATACATACTTCACGCAAAATTACATACTTCACGTTAAATTACTTTACTACTGTTCCGATTTTAGAAACCTTAGAATAAGTTTCTAAATAACCCATTAAGTTGTTACTTCTCTAATCGAGCTTCATTTTGGTTAAAGTTTTAGAACCAAGCAGTTTCATTATCTATAAACTCTTTGTAAACGTAAAAAGAACTGAAACTGCTAAGTTTTCTAGACTTGGGTCTTTTGCTTTATGGCATTGTAATGCCTGTTATACAAAATGTTTTGATTTGTTAATGATGAGCTTTCTTTTTTCCTCAGGCTTGGTTCTATTTTAGCTGGATTAGTGCAATCGAAATTGTCTACCAAAAAGGAGAATCGTGGAGTGAGAAATGGTACTACAGGAAAAAGGAAACCTACTCGTGGTTCATTTTCCTTTCAGAATGGAATGCAGGTATCTTCTGTGCCATTTTCTTTAAGTCCCCTCTTTTATAGGATTTGGTTCATTTAGTTTCACTATTGTTGAGTTCATTTTCTACTAGTATTTTGACAGTTGTCCAATAAGCCTCGTTTTACATGGATTATTGTTGTGTCCTCCTTGGCAGAAACTAAATGTTTAGATTGATCCATCTTGTGGCAGACGCTCACTGATACACTAAGCAAAGAGTTCGGTGAAAATGTGCTTAAGTTAAGATCAGAAGTTTTGTCATTATCTTACAATGCTGGGAAGTCCGCCTCACAAAATTGGTCACTCACTTATTCTAGTGACCGGAATTCTAAGAATTTAATTGCTAACGCTGATGCTGTAATCATGACGGTTAGGCCCATTGGAGATTTTTGTTTGCTTTTATGTGTTTCTGAACTTTCTAATTTGTTTGATTTGCACAATCCTTCATACTTTAGACGACCTTACTAAATGTACAGCGGTAAGCTTCCCTTAATTGAAGAGAAATGAGCTAAAAGAATGTTAAAACTCATACTGTATGACTACATAAGGGCATTTCAAGTTTAGAACTGGATACCACTGCTAGAAAAAAAACTTAAAATTTTGATTGGCCCGACAGGGACCATCTCTGGGGACAACTTTAATTATTTTTTATTATTATCGTTTAATTTCTAATTCAATTATACCTGCCTTGTCTCGAGTAGAGGCAAATATTTAAATACTATTATCAATTGATTATTATTTTCAGAAGTGTCTTATTTGTAAGTTTGTATTTGTTCTGCTGATTAATAACATTTTAATGACACACTTGTCTTATCCCAGGCTCCTGTTTGCAATGTCAGAGAAATGAAGTTTATGAAAGGAGGAATTCCATTTCCGCTAAATTTTCTTCCTGAGGTAATATGAGCAGATTTATGAAAGGAAAAGCAATAATGATATTGTTATATGGCATGCATGTTTGCAATATTCATACAAATAGAAATTATGACCAGAAAGAGATTATAGTTGAATTTTTCTTTTATTTTCTTTTCTTTTCAATTCGTTTCGTTTGAAGTGGTGAATCTCTTATCAAAATTTGACATGCTTTTCTGCTGTATCAAAGATATTATCTTCTGAAAATGTAAAGAACTCTTCAACCACAGAAGATATATCTTCAGAAAACCTAAAGAACTTTTCAACCACTTCTCTGCTTCTGTATCTACTCTGATTGCAATAGTTTTGATGGATGCATGTAACATCTAAACCGACCAACGCTTAAATTCTTGCCCTAATTCTATTCTGAATGTTCAGATCAGGGAACAGTTGGATGGCGTGTTGTGACATCATCCTTACGTACTTCCTATCTGAACTCCCCCACACTTGCATCACACTCCCATTCCCCCAGAGTCTAAACACCCGAACCCCCCTCACGACTTTTCCCTTTCTTCCTTCGGTACATAAAGTACTGGATCTTCTTAAACCTCAAAGCAACTTCGTAAGAGTAGCTGAAGACTTCACTATTTTTATTGCAGGTGGCTTACTTGCCTTTGTCAGTCATGATAACTACCTTCAGAAAGGAAAGTGTTAAGCGACCACTGGAGGGATTTGGAGTTCTTGTACCTTCCTTAGAGCAACAAAATGGTCTAAGAACCCTTGGTAATTTTTATTTGTTCTTTTGGATTCCTGAAAGCTTACATTGTTCCTCCAAACAGACGAGTAATTCTTCTGTACAGGTACACTCTTTTCCTCCATGATGTTTCCAAATCGTGCATCAAATGATGAGTATCTGTATACTACTTTTATTGGAGGGAGTCGAAACAGGAAGCTTGCAAAGTCATCAACGTTAGTAGAGCTACTTGGTTTTCATTATTACGCAAGCAAACAAAAAAAAAATATTGCTGCCATTATCTAGTTCAACCAATTGTTTTTTCTTTTTTTTTTACTTCTGTTTTATTCTTGCATGCTGCAACTAAACTTTCCTTCTCTTGCTTTCCAGGGATGAGCTGAAGCAAATTGTTACATCGGATCTCAGACAGCTGTTGGGAGTTGAAGGGGAGCCCACTTTTGTCTAGTACACAAACTTCCATTTACATCTTATCACTCCTGATAGTTTTGATTAGAAATAAATGTCAAGAACTTTCACGGTTGTTCACACTTTCTTCTGGCACGTTATACGTACAATGACAGCCATTTCTACTGGAGCAAAGCATTTCCCTTATATGGGCGTAACTATGATTCAGTTATGAAGGCAATTGAATCTATGGAAAAAAGTCTTCCTGGCTTCTTTTATGCAGGTAACTACAAGGCATCCAGAATTTGCAGAAATTATTCTTGTGTTTTGAGTGTTCTGAATTAGAATTAGAACTAGAATTTGAGGTTGTTAAATAACTGTTTTTCTTGAAAATTAAATTTAAGAGTGATTTGTTTTTAAAATTTATTTTCAGCGCATCCTCTATTATGTGGGATTTGATTATTAGTTTGATTAGCAATGTCTAACACAAGGCATGGTACTGTTGATATGAGGTGGAATAATACAAATATGAAGATTCAATTATTTTTTTAGTTTTTATTATTATCTTTTCTAGAAGAGAAGCAAAGGAAGACTCAAATTTTAGAATATCCTTTTTCATATTATTTTAAATAATTACTAGTTAAAAAAATCTAGCTAGTTTTCTATGATAAACCGGTAAGTTAAGGTTAATATAATCATCAAACCTTCTTTCTTAAATCATATTATACCTTTTAACGTTTTGACATCCTCATATCCGTTTTTCATTTTTTGGTTTACATTACTTACATCTAGCTTCGTACATATTTGTTCAAATCCTATGACGTGATGTGATGGGCGTATTCTTACTGTTTTGTTACATTCAATTTTCCTATCCCCGAGTAATATGAACTATTTCATTTCTAAATCTTGCATACTTTTAGTTTCTTGTGAGTTGTGGATTTTCAACCTTATGAATCACGTACCTTGTAGGTAACCACAGGGATGGTTTGTCTGTTGGAAAATCTATAGCCTCCGGATGCAAAGCTGCTGATCTTGTTATTTCTTATCTGGAGTCTTCTACTGATCAGCCGTGTGCTGAACAACAAGAGTTGAAAAAATGAAAGTGCATCCTTGTTACATAGTGAGCGATTTTACCCTTTCTTAGATCTTTAAGTTTTAAATGATTTGAAAGTTCAAAAACTAATTTTGTAGTATAATCTGTTAATTAGGTTGTGCTTGCAGGGACTCTCAAACTGTTGGAAGAATCAGCTTCCAGCATCCATTATCTGTCAAGTAATTTTTTGATCATTGCTTTTAGTAGTTGTATGACTTATAACATCAACTTCCCCAAGTTGCTATGAAAATACATCTTCTGGACTGGACTGCTGTATTGTAATTTTCGTATTCTGCACAGAGAAAAATAAAATTACTATATATTTATCCTCCAAAGACCAATCCAACCTACGAAGTTATTGTTAGACGAACGGACTCTCCATAATGGTATGATATTGCCCACTTTGAGCATAAGCTCTCATGGTTTTGCTTTGGGCTTCTCCAAAAGGCCTCATACTAATTGAGAGAGTATTCCTTGATTATAAACCCATGATCATTTCCTAAATTAGTCGACGTGAGACTTTCATCATCCAACCATTATAAAGATTGAACTTCGGAACTCTGGTAACTACACGCACTTCATCTTTTTCTGGTACTTGAAGGGCATGTTCTTGAAACTACTGTCGCTTGCGTGCTTAAGCAGACGCACAACCAGCTATCTTTTTTGTAAAAAATAGTAGTGTGTTTTACTGTTTCAAGTGGCCACGTTAAGTGTGGATCCACCCTTCCGTCGTTGGATCCTACTTACCCAACCAACCAAGTAATTGGATACTCCACTTCTGTCGTTGGATCCTACTTACGGATTTACTTCTAGATTTTTTCCTAGATTTACCTGGTCTTCTATAGCCAGCCATTTTTGTTACACACGAGTATATAGTTCTTATATGGTTGAATTCGAACCTCATCCTACAAATTTGAATTTTAATACTTGTCTATGTACGATTGAAGCTTGATTCAGACATTTCTGTTCTCGTTTGTTTGCGTTGGATCTTTACTTGGCTCCCTGTCATATATATCAATGCACAATTGCAGACCTACATGTTCAAGTACGATAGTGTACACGGCCAGTGGAAGCACCACGATATTAAGGTTAAGGACGGCAAGACTCTTCTCTTTGGAGAAAAAGCAGTCACCGTTTTCGGTACTAGGTATTTTCATGCTCTCTTTTCTTCGGTACTAGGTATTTTCATGCTCTCTTTTCTTCGGTACTAGGTATTTTCATGCTCTCTTTTCTTCGGTACTAGGTATTTTCATGAACTCTTTTCTTTACTCTGATTTTTTAACTATCGGATAATTAAGCATCTGATTTTTTTTAACAATCTGACAATTAAGCATTTGGCTTACTCATTCATTAGGAACCCGGAGGAGATCCCATGGGGAGAGGCTGGAGCTGAATATGTGGTTGAATCCACTGGAGTTTTCACTGATAAGGACAAGGCTGCTGCTCATTTGGAGGTTTGTTGAGTATAGTTAATACGCACATTCATGATCATCTATGTTATTTTAATGTTTTCTTTAACGTTGGTAGATGTAAACTCTACGTACTAACATTTGATATTATTATTTTCACTAGGAATAGCCCTTTAGCTGCTGAGTTTGAGGAAGCTAAATACTACACTCTAGTATATGGCAATTCAGCCAGCGCTGCTTATGTTGCCATAAAGCTGCTCTACAAAATATGATTGATTTTTTTTTTTTTTTTATGAAAAGAAAATTCCAATCGAAAGGACGCATTATCATGATATCATTCAATATATTTACTAAACCTTTGTTTTCTCATTCAATTCCAAGCATCATACCTCTGAATAGACGAGTCAATATTCTGAATCATCTTGCAGGATTTGTACTGTTCGGAATCCTCTAGAAATCTGACCACTCCATATCCTCTAGAAATCTGACCATTCCATCCTTCTGATTAACCGTTGAAAAAATCTCACCCTCCTGGATCTAAAATTGTACCAAAAACTGATTTTACTAGAGATGGATGCTGATTTATAGATTAATCCTGCGATTCTGATGTTACCATTTGTAGCTCATGCATTTCAGCTCCTTAGGATGGTTGAGCTCAACAGTATTGGCTATATCTTGAAGTGAGAGGGTCAAGTACGTAAGCGTCAATCTCTGAATGTTGCGCTTGTACATAGAAGATACAGCCTGCTTCACGAGTCCAAGATTAGAAGCATCTAGGCTGTTAAGGATAGTTGACCGTTTATTATAAGGCAAATATCTATTTGCCTTACATTACGGCTTACCATATTTGCCCTTTTATTAAAGACAAATATATTGTATTCATTTATTATTCTTTACTTTTAATACTATTTCCATATTATTTGTAATTTACCATATTTATGTATTCTGTAAATGATTATAAATAAGAGAACTCCCACCACCATTTAGGGTGGATTAATCAAACATTCTTATAGGCGATAGATCGACAAGCCCATATCTAACAAACCAATGTCTCTTCACTGCATGCACATACCATCTAATGTAACTAGACCATCTGAAGTGATAACACTTAGACTTTCAAACTTCTCCCTGTTTGTCTGAGAAACCGTGTTTAATTCGTCAATATTTCCTGTGTCGTAACTTTTTGCCCATTCAATGCAGGGCTGTAAAAGAAGAAACAGACCATAAGTAAAAACAGCATAAACACATCTGTGATAGGAGGTGGAATTGAAGGGTAAGAGAGGTGGAATTGGAGGGGAAGATTTTGATGAGAGGGGAATCGGAATCTCATAATCTCCTGATTTTTTAATTATAAATAAATAAATGTTTTAGATTTTTGTCAAAATAGCTTGGACCTAAAAACACACGAAAATAGTATTCAGTAAAATAGCTTTGACCTTATTAGTTAATTTCCACACTCATTCTCCCATTCCAAAACCTCCGATCTCCTCGACAATTGACTATTCCCAATCTCATTCTTCTACTCCAAACCCTCACCATTCTACTCCAAACTCTCCCTTGCCGACCATTCTTACTCCAAACCCTCATCATTCTTGCTCCGAACTCTCCCTTGCCGACCATTCTTGCTTCAAACCTGACTACGTCATAGTTGAAGTAGTCATCCTCAGGGATCAAATTATACTCTGCATCTTGGCGAGGGCCGGTATAATTTTTAGAAAGTTTGGTGGATTGACTGAGGAGCCTGTCCGAGAAGGGACCCACCCTTTGATACCATGGAAAAAATTCGAATCGTGGACATGACTGGTCGGAAAATAGGACTCATTTTAATTAAAAAATTAACAAGTTTTTTAATTCTATTTAACATAAAAAATAATGATGGTAAGAAATGACGCCTTATTCTATATCATTTTTTTTAATAGATAATAAAAAATGTCACCTGATTGTATATCATTTTTTTTGTATTATAGAAATCAAATAATAAAAAAATCCTACTGACTAGGCCAGCAAGAATGACCAGCCAGAATGATTTCTAATAATAAATCTATTATGACTTTTTCAAATAAAATCAATAATTTAATCTACTATCATTGAAATAAAAAAAAGTCTTCCTGACTAGGCCAGGCAAAAATGACCAGCCAGAATGGACGATATGATAAAATAGAAGAGGTATTATATTTTTTATTAAAAATTTAGAAATATATATTTGTAGCAACTTTTAATATATTGGTATTAATATACCTTACAATGCTTCCTATAACATCTATAGTCACGGTGACGGTATCGATTCTATATCGACCTGATGTGACTATCCTGGTAGGGTGACGGTATCGATTCTATATCGACATCGACGTGATGTGACTGCCCTGGTAGGATGACGATATTGATTATGTATCGACTTGATGTGATTGCCCTGGAATGAAAAAAGAATTAGAATTCGATACTGTTATTGTTGTTATTATTATTATTCTCATTCTTATTCTTATTTTCTTATTCTTCGTTTAATTTTACTTTCGATGAATTCACATGTATGAAAGCACTGAACTAATATTGCGACATTGAGAATCGACTTACAAATTTCATGACAATGAAGAGAAGTCAAACTGTCGTCGATGCACTCACAGTTCAGTCGCTAGGCAATTCACCATCGTCACCTCGGTCGGTGTAAGCAATCGGAGGAGTCGCTTCTCGCTTGATGAAGGGTTTCAGTTTTGAGGAGAATATTTGGGAAAAATTATTTAAATGTCTTTTTGTCTTTAGAAGGTCCTATTTTTACAATTTCCCCCTCTTTCTCCCTTTTTCTTCCTATTTCTACCAAAAAACAAAACAATCGCTTCTTCTACCAAAAAAACAATCTTTCTGTCTTCTGGGAGCCGCTCTCATTGCAGATGTGCTTAGGACATTGTCTTCCTCTTTCGCTTCTTCGTATTTTATTGGGAGATCAAGAGAACTAAGGTTTTAACTACAATGGATTCATTAATTGATAATGTTATTCAGGTTAGACTTTTCAAGAGATGATACATTCGCGCGATTTCATTTTGAAATTATTTTGGCGTTTTGTTGGACTGAACTGATCTTACAAACTCAATTTTTAGGTCGGAGATTGATTCACCTGATTGATGGGAGGAGATGCCATCAACACTGTACATCGTTTTGATCTAAAACCATCGATTATGTAAGAATCTTTTCTTCTAGTCTTTGTAAGCATCTTTGATTGTGTGTAAGTGTATGCATTGATTTCTTTCAATTTCAGAATATTTTACACATAGGTATGAGGAAATAGGGTCTCCTTGACGCTCTCAAAAAGAAGAAACATCTTATCTCATCTTCTACTCGCATATGAATCATGATTCAATTGAAAGTGTCGCAATAGATTTACTCTACCGTCGATTTCTATTGATGTTATTTTCTCTTCGATAGGTGCATTCTCACATTGACATGTTTAAATTCCCTGATAATACATGCGTCCAGAAGTTTGACACACCAAAAGAAATGGGACATTCACATTTAGAAGTAGCAAGTTATGGTAGGTAGATACATTTAATGGTTGGTTCAATATACCGTTACAGGGTGAGTTTCAAAATCCAAAATTGCTTGAAATTAACAAACTCTTTTTTTTTTTTTTTAATATCATGAATGAAACGAACAAAACTAGATCTTTAAGAAGCCTTATCCATGTCCCGTTCAAAAATCGCGGAGGATTTGATCAATGTTGCAGAATATTACATGGGATAGAGACTTCAAAAAAGCAAACACATTTAGTTTTTGAGGTAAGAGAATGGGATTACATACACTACTCACAAGGAGAAAATGACCTTGACAAGCTTTGTCTCTTTGAACTAAATCGGGCGGAAGGAAAAAGATACAGAGTGACTTTGCATAGCTCCAGTCAAATATTAAACTTTTGAGGAACAGAATCAAAGTCATCGTAATCGAATCTCTGCCTCTCTCTTCCAGCCTGAAAACAACAATTTTTTTAGTGCACTTGCAATTCAAAATGAGACTTTGATTTAGAGATGCTCACCTTTGCTAGATACAGAGGATCAGATGATATATTTTCATCCATAGCAGTTAATTTCTTAGCAAGTGTCATTATCCTGTGATGAACAGAGGAAGAGAGGGGAAAAGAACAATGAAGTATGCTCAAACCTAAACCGAGTACATATTACAATATCATAAGTCAGTTCAGTCATAATTGTGATGTATATGGCAATTCAGCCAGCGCTGCTTATGCTGCTATAAAGCTCTACAACATATGATGATTTTTTTTTCGTGAAAAGAAAATTCCAATCAACAGGACGCATTATCATGATATCATTCAATATATTTATTAATGTTTGTTTTCTCATTCAATTCCAAACAACATACCTCTGAATTGACGAGTCAATATTCTCAATCATCTTGCAGGATTTGTACTGTTCGGAATCCTCTAGAAATCTGACCATTCCATCCTTCTGATTAATCGTTGCAAAAATCTCACCGTCCTGGATCTAAAATTGTACCAAAAACTGATATTACTAGAGATGGATGCTGATTAATAGAATAATCCTGCGATTCTGAAGTTACCATTTGTAGCACATGCATTTCAGCTTCCTTAGGACTGTTGAGTTTAACAGTATTTGCTATATCTTGAAGTGAGAGGGTCAAGTACGTCTGCGTCAATCTCTGAATGTTGCGCTTGTACAAAGAAGATACAGCCTGCTTTACGAGTCCAAGATTGTTGTCCTGGAATAACACAATCCATAACTCATCAAAAACACAGAAGCATTTAGGTGATAGATCGACAAGCCAATATCTAACTAACCAAGGTCTCTTCACTGCGTGCACATACCATGTAATGTAACTAGACCATCTGAAGTGATAACATAGTGAGATAATTCTTACACTTTCAAATTTCTCCCTGTTTGTTTGAAAAACAGTGTCTAATTCGTCAACATTTCCTGTGCCATAACTATTTGCCAATTCAATGTAGGGCTGTAAAAGAAGAAACAGACAATAAATAAAAACAGCATAACACATCACAGAGTGGGAAGGAATGAGATGGGGGGAGGGGAGATGCAAGTACACAGATGACAACTGGAACTGGTCGTACATTTCTTTCAACCCAAATGTATGCATGCGGTAAATTTTGACATTTTGGGAACTCATCAGTAAATTTGATTGCAAAAATATACCGAAATAGACCAAGCACCAAACCATTCCCTCTAAAGCAATCTATATACGTTCTCCAGAAAATGCTGCTAAGATCAATCAGAACAGGATTGTGTTCTACCTAAATATAATTTAGATAGCATCGATCTAGTGCTTGATAGTCATTTTTTCAGGATTATAATAGCGAATTGCATCGTTCAAGGTACCCACCACTGAATAAGGAAAACTACCACATGGAATATTTATCCAGTCATCCTAAAAGAAAATTTCTAATTTTAAGCAAATTTGCTTATAAATTTGACAACTAAACACGAAAGTGATCATTGATTACAACACATCCAAAATGAGGAACATTCACATTTTGTTGAAATCAACATTAAAGAAGTGATATTCACGTAATAAATTACTTAATCTGTCCATGAACAAAGAGAATGTCTTCACTTTGAATTTATAGTACCTGACAGAAGT